GCCATGTAGCGCTCAATAGGGAATTTTAATAAGTTTTCAATTGTTCATCTTCGACCTTCCCGATTTCTCAACTGTTTTCGAATGATTCACGATTTTTGGGCAAAAAACGTGGTTTTTTAAGTGCTCATGGAAAACACCAATCCCTCTACCGATTTTACCATACATAAACCTATTGCTTCAATATGTTATTCGAAGCTAAACTGCCACAAAACCTGTGACATGGGAAGGAAAAGTTGAATTTCTGTGATGAGGTAAACAAGTGGTTATCGATAGCAGAAGCATTCCGCGTTCCAAAACGTCAAAGTAAGAAAAAATGAAAATTGTCGCTTCCCTGGTCACTTTTTTGAAAAAGTCCTGGGAACAAAAGTTGTACAGAGTAAAATTTGATCGTTCAAGATTCGTGCAATCTGGAAAATCTGGAGAGTGATCGGTGAGCACGTAAAAAAACCACGCTTTGTCCCCAAAAATCGCGAATAACTCGAAAACGGTTAAGAAATCGAGCAAATTTGAAAGTGACCAATTGAAAGATTATTAAAATTTCATATGGATCCTTAAAGGGCGCCGCTCCAGGACGATTTCCTGGCTCCACAGCTCAATTTGCACTTTTCGTACACAGTGCAAAAATTAATTTTCCCGAATTTTTGAATTCACTGATGAATGACTGAAGCTAGGAAAACGTTTAAAAAAAGCCAACATGTTCAGCGTAAAATTTAAAAAAAAACCTAGCGCAGGCCTGTGGCTAAAAAGGCTGAGAAACTATGTTTTTCCAAATTTGGCCATTTTCGTGCAAAAACTCGATGGTGGCAGTGTGTGTTAGGTAAAAACCTAGGAAATATTTTCTTTCGATATTGGTCCATCCGACAAGAAAAAAAAACTACTATTTGTTTAACTATTTCCCAGTTAACTTTAAAATATTAAAAGATACATTTCAAGAACTTATATGGGGAAAGAGCATCCAGGCTCATCAGCAAATTGCCGTCAGTGTTATTGCAAGACAGGAAATGCTGCCAGACGTCAAAAGCCCCTAAGTGATTGTCAGATACAATTTTCAAAAAGCCAATTTTCTTTCAACGTACTCGACACGTCATGAGGGGTACGTTACGTTGTTGAAAAGTTTCCCCGTAGTATATTTATTTTTAAATATTATTTATGCAAACATAGATTTATGTAACGATTGTTTAAATTACAACTTTCTCGAACATGTCTTTATGCTTTTCATTACATATGAATACATTGTCTTTCAATCTTTATTTTTATTGTCCTTAAGAAATGATTCTTGTAGAAAATGGAACCTTTTAAGTTGGTTTTCTTCCTACCTTACCAATATAAAACAATATTAAATCCATTAGATTTCGTGGTCCGATTGACCCAATAACTTCTTTCAATTGATTAATTTATGTAAGGTGTGTGGTGATTAGTAACCGTTAATCGATAATTATTCAGAAATCGTGAGATGCGGTCTGGTGTGATGTCGGTTTCAGAAAAACATTTTCTTTATCGTGCCAACGTTTCGATCTTTATTGAGATCATCTTCAGGGCCTGGGATTTACAAACATTGTTTACATTTAACAAAACATTTAGGATGTGGAAAAGTGAATTTATACAATGCAAAATATATATATATTTTATATTCACGATAAAGAAAATGTTTTTCTGAAACCTACATCACACCAGACCGCATCTCACGATTTCTGAATAATTAATTTATGCAAGGTATTGATTGAGATAAAAAAGCCAGTGTCACGAGCGGGATTCGATTGAAAAATGGCAAAAAGGAGGGAAAATGCGAAAGGTGGGGTTGAGATTGGACGCTAGTGTCCGAGTGGATCGAAGTCATCGAAGCGTATTTAGCCGAAGGCCGTGGGTTCGAATCCCGCTCGTTACACTGCCTTTTCATAAAGATTAACTAATTGATAAAACAATATGTTAAATTAAAATTTTATCGTTCTTTTTTCTTTGCATTTTCTATTCCCTTTCTATTTAACATCTATATTTATGTATCTGCTCTTAATTAAATATACTTTCTCCTATTTACAGGCGACCTCAAAATAATCCACATAATAAATTCTGAATCTGACTGCGTTTATTTACAATCCAAACTAATTAACTAGGAAAAGTGGTGCATCAACAACTATATGACTCTGAACATTAACAAATGCAACATAATCTCATTTAACATGCAAAAATCTATCCTATCCTTATTTTATAAATAATACCTCATCATAATATAAATGATCAAAGATGATGGTATTCACTTCGACTAATTTCTCTCCTTTAATCACAGTATCAACCTAATAGCCAATAGGTCAAATAAATTTTACGTCGTTACTCCAACGATTTTAATCCCTCCACTTCTACCCTCCTGTCCTTCCTTTGTCCGTTCCCTATTAGAATACTGCTCCTTAATTTGATTCTCCACCTACATTAAATTTTAAGAGCAATTCAGCTCAAATTCCTCACGTGGATAGGCTGAGGAAAAATTGATATATATCCCACTGACATCCTGCTGTAGCAACTGTTAATTTTGCTTGAAACTCGACGACACTCAAGGCTCTATTCTTCTATAAACAAGATATACTACCTTGAATTACTCCAACTAATAAATTTCCACATCCCCACGAAATGAATCCGATCCTGCTCACTTTTCCACACTCTTTCATCTACCACAAATTATCTCCTATCACTGAAGTCCACAGATTTGGAGACAAAATTAATAATACTACTAACTATTGAATTTTTAACGACTCTCTCGACCTGTTCAGAATTCCTTAAAAACTATCCTGTAGTCTTCCCTACCTCCATTAGTTTTCCTTCATATTTTTACTTATATTCAAGTATTTTATTGTACTAAAGTGACATTGTTTTATTTGTAATTATCATTATGATTGATATTTTTATCAACAAAATTGATTGTTAATTTCATTAAATTTTTATATTTATGTCAGTACTCAAATTTTCATCTTTTCTAGATTTTATAAATTTATTTTTCCATCCACTGTACATTTTTTATTTTCTATCTTGACTGTTTCCTGAGATATTAACGTTTTTGTGAGGATCGGGCATTTATTGAACCCCAAAGCATGAGCATTCAAACTCATTGAGGAAGAACACTTCGGTGATTCAAGCAGAAATACAATGCTTGTGCCCTGGACAATCTTAAAAGAGGTTACACTGGCAAAAAATCCTTATAAGATCTGATAGCCAAGATTAGCATGCAAAAGAATTACATCAAAATTAGTCAGTGAATGCATCCAAAATCTCCACAACCTGGGGAAACACAACAACCTGATGATATCTTGGGTGCCAGGGCACAGAGTAATTTTGGCTAATGAGAAAGGAGACTGGCCATTCATAGGCCGCGAACCTATACTTGGGATAACAAAAACAAATATAGAATCCTCCATCGCAGAATGATCAAACAACCCTCACCAAGACTGGCAAAATCACAGCTGCAACTGGATAGAGCTAAACTCAGAGGAGTCATAGGAGTCACCAGTCACTGGCATCTGAGAAAACATCTATACAACTTGGGCATATACAGATATGATCCCATCTGCAGATTATGTAATGTGGGGGAGGAAACAGCCACCCATATCATCTTCGAATGCGAAGCAAAAGCTCTCTGGAGATTCATCCTAACATACGTTAAAACTTAGGGAATGAAATTGTAGCAGCGACAGTCAATGAACTGATACTTCTAAGGAGAAGGATTGAGTCTGTTGCACTGAACTAAGGAACTAGGGAGGTACAATAAGCCAGAAGGCTGCAGTGCCTGGGGACTGCAAACCCCGCTTTTTAGTATCCTTTTCACCATACCATGGAAGAATGTACCAGCAACTAAAGAAGTTTCGTTCAGAAGCCGAGCTAATGGTTATGATACCCACATGCACCACAGTTGGATGAAATGGAACATAAAAAAAGATTGCAATTTCGCAATTTGTAAGTTGTAACATTAACATTAAATGAGATCAGCTTGGAAGCATTTACCATTACATTAAAGACTCGCCATAAAAAAAAATCAAAGAGCAGATATAAAGTCCAACTAATTGAAGTTTTTTATTGTATGAGAGGTAACTATCCTCATGTCAACCAGATTTATAAAACACTTGTACCTGGGAGGACATGTTTTATGAAAAGCCAGCCAATGCTGGCCATGAGGTCTCGGGGGCCATCGTCATTTGAGGTGACTTGAAGGGTTCTTTGGATCAGAGGGAGGTACCCCGCTTCCTAGTATCCTTATCACCATACCATACCGATAATATTTTTGTGATTTTAAGTGCAAATTACGGCATTAAAATACAAATCTCACTTTATTTTGCAAACTACAATGAATTTTCCACAAGATAACATTTCCGTGAAAAAATTCGCGTTTCCGAATACACACCAGCCGCTCAAAGAATGACCAAAGGCAAAACCCATGTTTTTTTTTTTTGAAAATACACAATTATGGCCCGTGTAATAATTTTCCATCAAAATTTTCGGGAATTTCACCATAAGGATCCAAGGACAAACTCACATATATTTTTCAGAACTTTTCTTAATGAAATCTCCTTTGCAAGGTTTGAAAAACGTGTATCGAACCAAAGGAGAGCAGCAACCCAAGAACATCGTACATCTCATATTTTTAATAAATTTGATTTATTAGTTTGTAATTGGAAAAACGTAGTGAGGTCACATGCAATGACATGAAGGAAAGAAGGAAAGGAAATTAATTTTATTTTAGTTACCAACTAATAAATGTTTTTATTAAAAATATAACATGTAAGATGTTCTTGGGTTGCTACTCTCGTAAGGTTCGATATCACCTTGCAAATTATCTGTTTTCTGTTGAGGCAAATTATATTTTTGTTTTATTTTATTTTTTAAGAAACGAAGAAAGTTTGTACGTTAAGATGAAAGACTAGTAGTTTTCATGGCTACTCTTTAAAAATACTTCCAAATAACATAAATGCCAGCTTTAAAGTCCGTCAACTTGGGATAGTTTTTCATCTTCTCGGCTCCCTTGGGGTGCTTATATTTTCCTTCAAAAACGCTACATTAATTCCCATAAGTTGTACATTGAATGAGGATGAAAGGATCCGTTTAAATCGCTCAGGAATTTAACAAAAAAATCCTATGTAGGAGGAAAATCGGCTTACGCTCTTCACAAGTCTTACTTACATGTAATCCTCCCTCGTCCTGCAAAAGGGGCTGACCTATTATGACGATACCATCAGTGCTGATTGTCGTGTTTTTCGGCCTTTCCAACGGTTCGCTGAGGACGTGGTCGCAATCCACTATTAACGTCGCCGCATCTCCCTTGACACTTAGTCCCAATCTGTACCACCTGGAAAAAAAACACAACTTTTCTAAGCATTATACACCGTCGGTTCGAACTAAAACACCTCCAGATTGGTACAGATGGAAAACGTCAAATCTAGAAATTCATAATATGTTTATGATTTATCATCCAATAAATCATCAAATCGTTATGACCTATTTTCCCTATTCTATAGTAGTATAAAAACATTATTAATGAAAAAGTGCTATAAACAGTACATATTTTTTCATTTCTTTATTTATGCACACCATTGTTCTAAAAGTACACGTTGAAAAGCTGTAGCAATATAGTTGCTACCGCTTTCATTGCATATTTTACGATGATACGCTACCTAGTCGACCTGACGTTGTTTAGAAGAAATATGATGATACACTGGACTTTTTCTACGTACATAATTTTTCTTAAAGCGCAGTAAGACTTTTCGGCAAAGGGGAAATAAAAAGTTGGCTGTGGTCCGTTTCGATTGCCTTCATAAATGTTGGATTTTCATGACCTTTTTTAGTTTCGTGTATGAACTTTGTTAATGATAATATTCTGCATATAGCAGATTTGTTAATAATTAAATAACCATATGATTACAATTAATTTTTAAAAGTACATTTAATAAAATATTATATTTTTAAATTTATTTTATTCATTACGATCTGTACAAAATGGATATGCAAATGACATTCTAGGTATGCCAATTGATGCCACTACTCCAAAGTACAACTTTACCAGATGTACTTTTTTATTTACGAGGGTTCGCAACACCAGAAATTACCCTTGGGGTGCCGGTGATTTTGAAAAAAAGCTCATTTGTAAGTATGTCGGGTTCGAATGGAGGGCCGCTAGATTCGAACCCGGGACGTTTACCTTACAGTGATGAACGCCGTGTCAACGACTAAACCGTTGCGGCCACCGACGCCCCAACAAAAAGTTCGCAGTACTGATACCAGAACGGGAAGAATGGGCCAAAGGAACACCACTAAAGGCAAATTCCTATTGGTAATCTGACGGCTTCAAAACGGACAAGGGTACGGGAACTGGGGGTCTTTGGTATGAACCCCAAGACCGAACTGACGGTAAACCTAGGTAAGTATGCTACAGTTTTCCAGTCTGAAATCACAGCGATTGAACAGTGTGCCAGAGAAATAAAAAGGAATACATTCCCAGAAAATAGCTATTTTCTTGGCTTCAGCCAGGTAGTACTCAGGGCCCTAGCCTCATGCGAGGCGAAGGCAAAGAGTGTTTGGAACCGCATGGATGACCTGACGGAAGTCCGCGACACTAATGATCTGACCGTGGCAAGGGTTCAAAAAGGGAGCCAACATGGACTCTCTGCGCCCAGAACCCTCCTGCGACCTAGCAGCCTGCCACAAAAGAGGTTACATCTTAAAATGGATCCTTAATGAGTCCAAAACCTGGTGGTATAATAACACAGGTATGAGGCGAATAGATTCATAAAAGGACCATCCGAAAAAACCTACAAAAGAATTACTGGAAGGCATCCGCAACCGTACCAGGATTTGGTTGGACTCCTGACAGGGCACCGCAGTTAAGAAAGCACATGCACCGGATAGGAGTACAGACAGAAGAAACATTGCGCAGATACTGCTAGAAGAGGAGGAGACCGCAGGACACATTTTATGTTTCTGTGAAGGTCTACCACAGGTATGAAGCACGCAAATTGATTCATAGAAGGACCATCCGCAAAACTTACAAAACAATTACTGGAAGGCAACCGAAACCGAATCAGGATTCTGGTTGGACTCCTGACTGGGCACCGCACTTAAGAAAGCACATGCACCGGATAGGAGTACAGACAGAAGAAACACTGTGTAGATACTGCTAGGAAGAGGAGGAGACCGCAGAACACATTTTATGTTTCTGTGAAGGTCTACCACAGGTATGAAGCACGCGAAGAGATTCATAGAAGGACCATCCGCAAAACTTACAAAACAATTACTGGAAGGCAACCGAAACCGAATCAGGATTCTGGTTGGACTCCTGACAGGGCACTGCTACTTAAGAAAGCACGTATAGGAGTACAGGCAGAAGAAACACTGTGCAGATACTGCCAGGAAGAGGAGACCGCAGAACACATTTTATGTTTCTGTGAAGGTCCATGCAGTTGCAGATTCTTGCAACTAGGACAAGAAAAACCACAAACAAGATTCTACACCAAGGAACCTCTGGCAAAGCTGTGGAGGCTGGTTAATAGCCTGAAGCTGGCCAGTGAGTTATAAATAACAGAGGAGCACAATAGATCTAGTCAGTGGAGGTTGTGTAGGCCTTGTGGCCGCCTCTTTTATCCCTATCCCCTATACCCTCGTAGGCAGTGGAGAGAGAAATCAGCCAGTGCTGGAACTCTCCTTTATTTAGTTGGAAGGGTTATGATAGGAAGTCACAAGGACATAAGGTGAATTTTGTGAACCTAAGTGAACAGTCTTAATATCAGTGATATTTTCTGCTTTATTCATTTTATTTTTTTTTTCTACGATGGTTCGCAACAGCAGTGGTCATATCAACCCTCAGGGTGCCGGTGTTTTTGAAAAAAAGCCCATTTGTAAATATGTCGAGTTCGAATGAAGGGCCGCTGGATTCGAACCCGGGACCTTTTCCTTACAGTGATGAGCGCCGTGACAACGCCTAAACCGTTGCGGCCACCGACGCCCCATTTATTAATTTTATATTGTATTTTCGACTGAAAGCAATAACTTTAAGGCCTAATACTCTGCTGTGGCTATTATGCCAGGACGTAAGGCAATTAAAAAAAAATCTGACTGTAAATTACCTTTGTTCTATTGCATCCAGCGGGTATAAAATCGAAAGAGGGATCGTGTCAGGCGGTTGGTACATGAACACTAGGCTGGCGTCGCGCAGTTCCAGCGAGATTTGTTCCAGCCCACCGGCGTCGTAGACTGTAAAAATCGTCCCGTGATCTGCGAGCGGCCTTAAAACGACGAGGATGGAAAAGTCGATGGGCCACCCTTCAGGCAGGATCCATTCCAGGTTGGTGGTACCGACATCTGTCGGGTTGAGTAACACCGAGCCACCGCCGCACCTCCCTGCACCTCGATCCTCCAGCTCTGTTGTTGCTGGCCCGAGGATGTCAACTCCATCTGAAAAAGAAATAGTTGCTACAACTCACTGAATACAATAGTACATATGTATTTCGATAAATAATCTATACATATATCCTACATTTAACGAGTTTGATTAAATGAACCCAAGTTTATCCCTTAGAAATTGCATGCTTTCAGTTAAACATAAAGATATTTGAACTATTGTTAAAAAGAAATTATATAGGAGGAATCATGAATTTCTTTTTGGAATGTGAAGACGACTTGTCCTTTAGATTTAGTCGTAGTCATTTCGTTCTGAGTCTGTTGATGAAGAATGAAAAGGCGTTTGGTTCAAGGTGCTAAGCCTGGCCTGCGATCAAGCTGGCACAAGAAGATCCGGATCAGCTTCAGTTCGCCGGGAGTGGGCAGTTTCTCGTTACTCCAAGACATTACAAAATTGTTCTGTTCTTCGAAACAAATGCCCCCTGGCGACTGAGAAAGCGTCCCGAAAGACGAGCAAGCCTGAAGATTCTATTGCAGATGGGAAGCCGGGATTTTGGATGGATCAAATGGCCTTTGGATAAAATCAGATTGACTTGTGAAGACGACGAACGTGAAGTTGTCAAACAGCTGTCAATTGCGTCCTCAACTTTTACGTCCTGTGTTCCGAGCCTGAAGCTCTCTCTTGAGCTAGAGTTGACATAAAACATGTTATAGGCCTTGGATAAATGACTGCCGCTTACAAATATATCCAGCCCCTTAGCTGCTTTTTCCTCTCATTCTCATTTAGATAATAGTCGAGCATGCCTTCTCGGGGTTCAGGTTGAACCAACGGAATTATCAGCAATTCATGACATAAGTACACTTTGAAAGGTTGTAGTTCTGTTTGTGAAAGGTAAGAGATATATTTTTCTTACACAAACTTCCTACAATATTTAGAGCGTTTTGCATCTGGTTTGACAGAGTTCTCCAATTTCGCTTTTATGATTACGAGGTCATTTTTACATTACATCATCATTACGAGGTTATTTTATGTTACGAGGTCATCTACGCAACCTATGACATGATATACTAAGCTTATAAGCTGTTTACTTAGATCATCATCTACTAGCAACCGAAGAAGTATCGATAGTTAGCTGACTTTCCTGTATATCATTACATGTATATCTATCTTTTGTTCAATCAAATCCTATTCAAGCCACCTGTCAGACCCAAGAGGACGCCCTGGGCTTATCAAAGCATGGTAGATAACTAAGCCGAGCGTAGAACACTGCACACGGTGTATTGTATATTATTTAAAAAAACTTATCATCCCCTGTACAACAACTACTAGGGAACGGGCAAAATTCTGTTCTACTAATAGTACAGGTACAGGTTCTACCTAATAGATGCCATTCTAGGTATGCCAATTGATGCCACTACTCCAAACTACAACTTACCACGAACTACAAAGTACTGATGCCAGAACGGGAAGAATGGGCCAAAGGAACATCACTAGCAAATTCCTACTAGTATACTGACGGCTCCAAAACCGACAAGAATATGGGTGCTGGAGTCTTTGGGATGAACCACAAGACCGAATTGACGATAAAACTAGGCAAGTTACAGTTTTACAATCTGAAATCATAGCGATTGAACAATGTGCCAGAGAAATAAGAAAGCTAGGAATACATTCCCGGAAGGCAGCTATTTTCTCTGAAGCCAGGCAGCTCTCAGGGCCTTAGCCTCATGCGAGGCGAAGGCAAAGAGTGTTTGAAACTGCATGGAGGTTGGAGGCCCTGACGGAATTCAGCGACACTAATGACCTGTTCCTGGGAGGTCCCTGGGCATTCCGAGCATAGAGGCAACAAAAAGGTTGACATGATGGTCAAAAAAGGAGCCACATGGACTCTAAGAGTCCAGAACCTTATGCGGCTTAGCAGCCTGCCACAAAAGAGGTTACATCTTAAAATGGATCCTTAATGAGTCCAAAACCTGGTGGAATAATAACACAGGTATAAGGCGAATTGATTCATAGAAGGACCAACCGAATTACTGGAAGGCATCCGCAACCGAACCAGGATTCTGGTTGGACTCCTGACTGGGCACTGCAACTTAAGAAAGCACATGCACCTGATAGGAGTACAGGCAGAAGAAACACTGTGCTGATACTGCTAGGAAGAGGAGGAGACCGCAGAACACATTTTATGTTTCTGTGAAGGTCCACGTAGGTGCAGGTTCTTGCAACTAGGACAAGAAAAACCACAAGCAAGATCCTACACCAAGGAACCGATTGCAAAGCTATGGAGGCTGGTTCATAAGCATAAGCTGGCCAGTGAGTTATAAATAACAGGGGAGCACAATAGACCTAATCAGGACGAGGTGCAGAGGCCTTATGGCCGCCTCTTTTAACCCTATCGCCTATCCCTACTAATAATTCTATACTAGGAACTACTGGTTATGCAAAATGGTTATGGCTCTATCCAAGCGATAAAATTTAAGGCCCTTCGAAGTACAATAGGTGAAAAAATTAAGACATTTTTAATCATCCTAGTAAAAATGATGGTAAATATGCTGAAGAGTTTTGTAACATACATGTTCAAAATAAATCAATAAATTTCTGTTTTGTAGCTTTCTGGAAATTCTGTTTTCAAATTATGGCAAAAAGTAAGGGATATCATCAATAAATTAAAATAATCAATTAATTAAAAATGAGAACCTTGATAGGTTGGAGGCAGTTTTTAGGTATGACACTCTCCAAATTGAAAATACCGGTAAGGAGTTTTTGCAGTAGCAAATTATCCGGTAGAAGATTGATTCGTTATAGAAACCGGTAAAAATATATTTGCTTTATTGATCCTCTCCTAATGTTGATTAATGTTTGTATTTACAGTTCCGAAATGATGAAGGGGATAAATTTCAGTTCCGACAAGGTAAAAACAATTAATCGTATCTGAGAACCGACGTCCCATCGAGGCTGAGCAATTTCCTTGCTCTTTTACTTCAAATCTTAATTGGTTCGTGGACATTCTTCAAGGGGTATCAGTGTGATAAAATTATTTCACTACCGAGTTGGAAAGTTTACGCCGACCCTATTGAAATTGGGAGTACAGCTGTCCGTTCCATTGGGGTGTACTTCATGTCACATCAAGATCATAACCGTCCATTATGTCGGTGTGACGAAGGGACCAAAAGTTTATCTTCCGTAATAATTCTACTCTGACACTCATAAAGTTAAATATCCCGTCAAATTATTTATTGTTTTAAGGAAATGACTATCTTTGCGAATGGACATACGGTATACATCAAAATTCAAGAAATGGCTCTTATTTTATAGGCTAGCTAAAATCTCCCAAATACGATTGTCGTTGCAGTATTATTAATAATAGAAAAAAAATCAGCATGCATTGAATCATGTAATATATGCAACAGCATAGTCCTTTAGCCCCCTTTGCGTATTTATTACGTCAAAGTAATTCCTTAACTTCTAGCCATCTAACATTTTTTTTAATTTTTAGAGCCTACAATTTTTACCTATACTTCGTGGTAGATTTCCAAATATTTCTGCCAAGGCAGTGATGTGAAAATTTTTGGTATATCCATTCACTTTTATTATTCAGGTCATTACTACCTCGGGAAGGGGTGCAACGGTTTAGGCGTTGACACGGCGCTCATCACTGTAAGGAAAAGGTCCCGGGTTCGAATCTAGAGGCTCTGCATTCGAACCCGACATATTTACAAATGGTCATTTTTTTTCAAAAACACCTGCACCCTGAGGGTTTATATGATCTCTGACGAACCCTCGTAAAAACAAATAAATAAAATTACTACCTCAGCATTAGTCTGTTTTTATATTTCACGATCAAAATTATTTTTACAAATATTTCCTCAATATTGGCAACGTAAGATTACAGCTGTTGAATTATTTTTGCGACTAACACATTGGAGAAAAAAGAATAAAGCTGTCGTAAATCATACGGTTTTAAAATTTGTATTAAGAATTACAGTTAAAAAATAAAGAAAAGAAGATGCACCAGTATATTTTTCTAATATTTATTTGTTCAGTCGTTTCAGACGTTTCCGTAATCAAACAATATTACAAATATTACACTTGCATATTGAAACTTAGTGAAAAGAATACAACTAACATCTGTACGGCGCTACTTGTGTCAAGCGTATGGGTCTTGTCAGCCTACCACTGCATCCTCGACGTAGAAGGTTTTGAAAAATTACCCACGAAATTCATACTTACGGGTAAAAACGTTCAACGTGTTAAAATGGAAGTAAGGAATCCAATCAAATGGATCAAGTCGTTACAGTTTAACCAAAACCAAGCGTATCTCCACGACTATGTCTTGATCATGATCGACAAAGAATTCCATAACATAAACACTTTACGGAGGAATCTTTTCTCCAACGACGTAGGAACGATCAGGGACGCTTATATCTATTACATGTTCAGGAAGGAAGAATGCCATCTGGTCGGTTGGGGCCAGAGAGGCCTCCTGATGATGACATCAGTAAGTTTGGAGCAGATGCTTTGCCAGAACAAGAGCAAGACGGACTTAGTGGGTATTGAGTACGCCATCATCATCTGCGCGTTGACGGTTGACGATTCGTTTTTCAGGATGGACACTGCTTCTTTGCTAATTTGTGACAAAGACATTTACGGATTCAGAAGCCACTATCCGACCGAGGAACGCGGGGCCGACATTCTGTTTTTCACTTCCATATGGACGGCCCTGGAACACTACAACACCCTGTCCCCAGGGATTTACGAAGTTCCATTAATAACCAACGAAAAGTCTAGTAAGAGCGTAAAAACATGTCACCTATCCAACTATGTTTGGTTTAATTTGTCTCTTGTAACAACTGTTATTAAACTTTTAAAAATGAAATATTATAAAAGCTAATACATTTTTTGTTGTTTAATTAAATCAGATGGTAAAATTATTTTTTCTTATTTTTTAGATAAAGATATTTTAGGAAGATTCACAAAAATATAAAAACTTTGAATTCACTCTTAATTTTATCGATTAATGAAATAATTTCTATGCATAAGGGTTTCTTTGAAATTTTGAAATATACATAACGTTTTTTCCGGTTCTTAGCCTTAAGGAACTGTATGGCACATTCTGTATTTACAGTTTGGGTTGGTATACATTCAACTTTTTAATATTTTTATTGTACTTAATATAGGAAACCTTTCCAAAAATAGGTTTTTCTTTTCATTTTGACTTATATATTTATATTTTATTGTAATTATAATGGTTTCTGATCCCGTTAAAACATTTAAATCATTAACAACATTTGCCCCATTATTTTATATTTTTATTTATTTTATTTTTTTAGTTTTATATTTTACTTTATAAAAAATCAAAATATAAAGATATATACATTTTTTGAACCTATTTATACATTTAAATCATTATATCATATGTCAAATTATTTTATATTTTGATTTATTTTTTGTAAAAATCATCATTTAAAAACAAATATTTTTGATCTTGTTAATACATTTAAATCATTAATATATTTAAATATATTTACTGTACTTTATAAAAATCAACATGTAGCATTAATTAGATTTGTTGGTGATGTAAACGTGCACGCAATTACTCGTAAACTAAGAAAGAAAAAATAATATAAAAAAAATTTCTTCTTTATGAGACAGATATTCAAGAATTAAGTTAGTCAGATTTAATAATGTAAATCATTTTTAAATATGAATATTTTACTTTATAAAAATCAACATATAGCATTAAACATGTTGGTGATGTAAACGTGCACACGATTAGATATTTTATAGCTAAAAACCAACAAAGAAATTATAATACTAAAAATATCTCTTTTATGAGAGTGATATTCAATAATTAAGTTAATTAATCAAATTTTAGGTAAATAATTGTTTTTGATCCTGTTAATACATTTAAATAATTAATAACGTAAATTATTTTTAAATATGGATATTTTACTTTATAAAAATCAACATGTAGCATTAAACATGTTGGTGAGGAAAACGTGCACGCGATTAAATATTTTATAAAAACCAACAAAGAAAATATAACATTAAAAATATCTTGTTTATGAGTGATATTCAATAATTAAGTTAGTCAAATTTTGGGTAATTTTTGTAATTATATATTTTTTTGATCCTGTTAATACATTCAATTAATTAAGGTTTTTTTTAAAGTTGAGATAAAAAAGTCAGTGTCACGAGCGGGATTTTTTATCTCAACTTAAAAAAAAAACCATAATTAATTGAATGTTATTAATTGGTCAAGCGGACCACGAAAAAGAGTGAATTTAACCAGTTAATACATTTAAATAATTTTTAAACATAGATATTTTACTTTATAAAAATCAACATGTAGTATTAAACATGTTAGTGATGAAAACCTGCACACGATTAAATATTTTATAAAAAAACCAACAAAGAAAATATAATATTAATAATAAATATAATATCTTTGTTTATGAGAGAGATATTCAATAATTATGTTAATTAATCAAATTTTGGGTTACTTTTGTAATTATATATTTTTTATCCTGTTAATACATTTAAATCATTAATAACGTAAAATAATAGCATTAAACATGTTGGTGATGTAAACATGCACACGATTAGCTATTTTATAGCTAAAAACGAACAAAGAAAATATAATACTAAAAATATCTTTTTTATGAGAGTTATATTTAATAATTAAGTTAATTAATCAAATTTTAGGTAAATAATTGTTTTTGATCCTGTTAATACATTTAAATCATTAATAACGTAAATTATTTTTAAATATGGATATTTTACTTTATAAAAATCAACATATAGCATTAAACATGTTAGTGATGAAAACCTGCACACGATTAAATATTTTATAAAAAAACCAACAAAGAAAATATAATATTAATAATAAATATAATATCTTTGTTAATGAGAGAGATATTCAATAATTAAGTTAATTAGTCAAATTTTGGGTAACTTTTGGTATTATATATTTTTTATCCTGTTAATACATTAAAATCATTAATAACGTAAATTATTTTTAAATATGGATATTTTACTTTATAAAAATCAACATGTAGTATTAAACATGTGTGATGAAAACCTGCACAAGATTAAATATTTTATAAAAAAACCAACAAAGAAAATATAATAGTAAAAATATCTTTTTTTATAAGACTGATATTCATTAATAAAGTTAGTTAATAAAATTTTAGGTAATTTTTGTAATTATAATTGTTTTTGACCCTGTTAAAACATTTAAGTCATTAAAAACGTAAATCATTTTTAAATATGGATATTTTACTTTATAAAAAACAACATATAGCTTAAACATGTTGGTGATGAAAACCTGCAGACGATTAAATATTTTATAAAAACCAACAAAGAAAAGATAACATTAAAAATATCTTGTTTATGAGTGATATTCAATAATTAAGTCAGTCAAATTTTGGGTAATTTTTGTAATTATATATTTTTTTGATCCTGTTGAAACATTCAATTAATTAAGGTTTTTTTTATGTTGAGATAAAAAAGTCAGTGTCACGAGCGGGATTTTTCATCTCAACTTAAAAAAACACCATAGTTAATTGAATGTTATTAATTGGTCAAGCGGACCACGAAAAAGAGTGAATTTAACCAGTTAATACATTTAAATAATTTTTAAACATAGATATTTTACTTTATAAATATAAACATGGAGCATTAAACATGTTTGCGATGTAAACGTGCACACGATTTAATATTTTATAAAAAATCAAAAAAGAAAATATAATATTAAAAATATCTTTTTTATGAGAGTGATATTCAATCATTAAGTTAGTTAATCAAATTTTAGGTAATTTTTGTAATTATAATTGTTTTTGATCTTGTTAATACATTTAAATCATTAATAACAATAAAATTTAAATATTTATATTTTACATTATAAAAATCAACATATAGCATTAATTAGATATGTTGATGGTGCAAACATGCACACAGTTCAATTTTTACAGCTTTAAACCAACAAAGAAAATATAATACTAAAAAAACAGCAATTTTTATAACAATTTAATTTGGGTATAAAATAATAACTAATACGTGCTAAACTGATCCATCAGCCTAACAGGCTCTCGAAAAATTCTAAGATTTTCAATATTTTTGTAAAAGAGATTCCCTCGGATCGTGGACGAGGATTTTTGCCTAATAAGCACGACTGAATAGGCATTATTAAAATTCACCTGGATACAGCTCAGCCCTCAGGAGGGTGATGCAGAGGAGAAATGGGAGAGATTTCTTTTGCCAGCACATCACTCTCACATGACTGGTGCCAGACTGAGGCTGTATTCGCCCCGATCTGGCCCGCTGATAAACATTAATCTAATAACCATAAACAGCCCTTTTAATTAACACCGCCGTACATATGCGTTTCTTATTAGGGAGGAGGGGTATTTCCAGATTTCGTCTTTTAAAGTTCACGAGGTCTCTTCAAAAATAAATTGATTACCCTTAGTCAACCCTTAGTCATTTTTTCGATTTGAAGCTATCTCATTTAATCACAAATTCAACCACTTAAAAAGCACATAGAACATAAAATGAATAATGAATAAAACTATTAAAGATCCAAAGTATAATTTTTAATATTGATGTTGCTACATGACTATAAACATGATAATTGAGAATATACGGACCATAAAAAACATTCTTTTTTCTGGAGAAAATGATCGGATAGTCAAGTTTCTGCAATTTGATCAGCAGTTTGCTATTTTCGTAGGTTTTAAGGTTATCTAGACAGAATTCCTCACAATACTCAAAATCGAATTTCTGCAGACTGAGTGCTTGTAGAGGAAATTGATAGGTGTAAAAATTCTGATAATCTGTATCGAGCATTATTTAATCCATTCAAATTTCTTACAATTATAATTTTATTTATTATGCAAATTAATGTTAGAGTTAGAGAGTAACCCGCGCCGACTTGAAGATGTGATAGAAATGCGTTGAATTCTTTCATAAAATAAATGGAAATTGTCCGATTGTATAGCTAATTTGAAGAACAAAATTAAGACGATTATCATCAATGGGTTGAAAATAAATAGGTGATCAGTTTCTGTCGATCAAAAACTGATTTGAGTCGCATTCAACGCGTTGAACAACGAAAGTTGAATCATGACAACGCGTCTTAACCCTAACCCTACCGGACCCAACCCTAATGCGAAAGTGAAGAGAGTGAATCCAGCCTGAAAACATATTTAAAAAAAATTAACAATTGTGAGAAGACTAACTGAAGTTGTTAATAGGGTGCCCCCTTTCTGTAACCGGTGGAAACTCAAAATAAATTCCCCAAAACTGAGGCCATTCTTTTTACCAGGCGTCGCCCTGCTTTTAGAGACCAAAGTATTTGTTAACAGCTTGCAAATTCCATGGGTTGAAACAAAAACAACAAATACTTAGGCATTATTTTGGACAGGAAGCTCAATTTCTCTAGTTACATAAATGAAATCTTAAAAAAAGGGAAGGTTGCTACGAGGGGTACCTCGTTCCGATTTTGTCCCACAACTCTGTGCTCAATTTCAATAATAAACTCCTCTTATACAAACTTGTGGTAAAGCCTGTCCTCCTGTACGCCTTCCCCGCTTCACACCTCCAGATCAAATTGGAAGACGTTACAGTACACACAAAATAAATTTCTGAAACTGGTAACCTCTTCAAGCCTCCTCCATGAGAGTACAAACATGAGATTGATATACGACGAAACTAAACGGCTCACTGAAAACATTTTCAATAAACTGATTGACCACAGAAATCCCACATGCCGAGAAATTGGAAGGTACCCTAACGAATACCATTTGGAAGCACAGGGCAATAAAACATATATAAACTAGTAATCAGGCTAATATATGGGGTAAAGATGTGCATGTATGCACACTGCAATCTCGTAAATTATAATTAATTAAGGTTTTTAGTTGAGATAAAAAAGTGAATGGCACGAGCGGGATTCGAACCCACGATCTTCGGCTTGATACGTCGCAGCTCTACCACTTGAGCTATCGTGACCTCGAACCACTCGGACACCAACTTCCTATCTCAACCCCACCTTATGAGTTTTCCCTCCTTTTTGCCATTTTTCATTGCTCAAGTTCGTCATACACAGCGTCATCAGTTTGATGAATTGCTTCCTTCTCATGGCTTAACACGAGATACCAAAGAGACCTACCTACTCCAAGTACAGGACGACATTTTATGAACTCTGTGTTTTCTATACCATGTGTAAAATTATTATTTGGAGATCGAGAGATGCGGTCTGGTGGGATGTAGGTTTTAGAAGACCATTTTCTTTATCGTGCCAACGTTTCGAACTTTATTGAGATCATCTTCAGGGCCTTGTTTTGTCTCCATTTCAACAAAATAGTTCTTTGCTTGATAGCTGATGCAAGTTTCGTCTCATTAAATTCACTAATTTCGTGGTCCGCTTGACCAATTAATACATTACAATTAATTAATGTTTTTAGTTGAGATGAAAAAAGGTTAATGGCACGAGCGGGATTCGAACCCACGATCTTCGGCTAGATACGCCGCTGCTCTACCACTTGAGTTATCGTGACCTCGATCCACTCGGACATCAACTCCACATCTCAACCGCACCTTTTGAATTTTCCCTCCTTTTTGCCATTTTTCAAATGTCGTGTAATCGGATTGGATTCTCGACGACAAATGAAATGGCCTCGGAGAGCTTTATTTAAGTGTACTTCAGTGTACTGGTACTTGGTAGAGCAGCGGCGTATCTAGCCGAAAATCGTGGGTTCGAATCCCGATCGTGCCATTGACTTTTTTTCATCTCAACTAAAAACCTTAATTAATTGTAATGTATTAATTGGTCAAGCGGACCACGAAATTAGTGAATTTTAATTTAACTTTAACTGAATTCAAGGAATCTCGAAATACATCTATTTCATTAGAATAATAATTCAGCAATGTCATTATCCTCGGTATGGGTGAATTTAGTCCATATTCTGTTTTGTAGTGTGGAACAAAGAACAAATTATGGTTTCCTAAGTGGTCGCTGAGGCACACATAGCGATAAATGTAAGTTCAGGATATCAATGGCCCCATTCCACAATTTCCAACCCCAAATGAGATCGGCAAAAATACGGCGGGAGCTAAGCGACTCGAGACCAAGCCAGTTCAGTCTTTCCAAGTAATTCAGGTGTGCAAGACCAAATCTGGAGGCCATTATCCTGGTTGCTTTCTTTTGAACTTTTTCCAAATCGCTAATCTCACCAACGTAGTAAGGGGACCACACGACACTTGCATATTCCAGATGGCTACGAACGAGGGATTGATATAATATTTTAACTGCCAAGATGTTTTTAAGATCTTTAGAAAACCTAGTAATAAAGCCAAGATTGCGTAGAGCCTTATCTCGAATCTGTTTGATATGGTCACTGAAATCATCCCATTTATTATGCCAAGTTACTGTTATATTTTTTTAAATGTTGTTATCATAAAATCACTAATTTCGTGGTCCGCTTGACCAATTAATAATTAAGGTTTTTAGTTGAGATAAAAAAGTCAATGGCACGATCGGGATTCGAACCCACGATCTTTGGCTAGATACGCCTCTGCTCTACCACTTGAGCTATCGTGACCTCGACCTTAAAATTGGCAAAAAGGAGGGAAGATTCAAAAGGTGGGGTTGAGTTAGGGTCCGAGTGGATCGAGGTCACGATAGCTCAAGTCGTAGAGCAGCGGTGTATCTAGCCGAGGATCGTGGGTTCGAATCCCACTCGTGCCATTGACTTTTTTATCTCAACTAAAAACCTTAATTAATTGTAAAGCTGTTATCATATTTGCACATATCATTTACTCCTGTGACATCGCTAAAGCTTCTCAATGCAATATGTATCTAATTTCATTTTGCTGATATCATATTTTTGTGGTCTTTTTTTGCAATTGTCAACGAGCACAATATTGTTAAAACCTCTATATTTAGGCTAGGGATCAAATAGATCAATTATTGTAACAGGATGTAATAGTGCACCGCCACTTCCCCTTAAAACTTAAAGGAATGTGTTCTACGTAAATTTATTACAAATAAATGTAATCTAAAAAAAATTAATTAAGTACATGGCGTCATAATTGTGTACTTTGAAATAGTACGTCATGAAGTATTTTCATTATGTTAGTACAAACATAAACAATAAATTAATATTTTTATGTAAGGTTGAAATGAAAAAGTTAGTGACACGAGTGGGATTCGAACCCACGACCTTCGGGTCAATACGTTGAACTATCGAGGCAAGTGGTTAGAGCTGCGGCGTATTGAGCCGAAGGTCGTGGGTTTGAATCTCGCTCGTGTTCAACCAACTTTTTCGTTTCAACCAAAACCTTACATAAAAATATTAATTAATTGAAAGAAGTAATTCGGTCAATAGATCACTAAATATAAAGAATAAACAATCAAATTTGTTTACTGGTTTGGATTTTGGTCTGCGAGTCGGAAAACTCAAGTTGAATGTATCATGTTGTATTTACTCCCAGGTTTTTTGAATTAATCAAACGCGTTTCGACATTGTGCCATCTTCAGTGAGTAATCATAATATGTGTGTTTCCTACAGTTAACCTATTTTGTTTTAACTCTTTATCTATTTTATAATTCTAAAAATGAATCTCTTCGATTTCTTTTTGTACATTTACTTTTCAATATGTTTGAATATCCCTTTGTATCAAATGTCATTTTGACAAATGCCCTAGCCTTTTCTGTTCATTGACAGCATTTCGATTATGTATTTATTTTAAATATCCGATTTGCCATAGGTGCAAAATATTGAGGCAAGAGGATACGCTTACTTAGTCGGCTAATGAAGCGTATAGGCCGCCGGTCGATAGTCTTTCAACAGGTGATGCTGAAGTTCCATTCATGACGGATTCGACATTTTTCCAGAGCAGGAGCGATATCGTTTTAAAGATGTGGCCGATGTGCGCTAATAAAGGCCAAATTTTATCAACAAAATCTACACGTCTATCGATTTTCATTCTCCAAATTCAAGATCGTTTAAATTTGACATTATCGTCAACTATGATTTGGAATCAAGCTTTCCTGAAAAACAACTCTACAAATTCAACACTCTTTGATCACACTAAGTTTACAAGGCATTGGCTAAATATAATCTTGAGGTCGGAATTTTCTTGGATCTTTCGGAGAAAAATATGGTATTCGTTCCTCCGTCTTGTCATGAGTTTCTTCATATCTCCGGGTCGGCAGTTGTTAAGTCTAGTAACTGTCATATCTTTTCCAGCCGTAAAACCAAGGGTGTTCCTCAAGGC